GGGACTATATTGAGATAGTTCAATTCCTTGAATTCACACATACATTTTATTTGTAATTATGGGGAACTATATTCAACTACAGTGAATAAATTTTAGAACTATGCTATAGTGGCACGTTCAATGATAGAGCGACACATGAAAATACATGATGACTAAGTTTAAAAAAAGAGAGCACCAATCAGGTGCTCCACCCCACCTTTTCACCTTCCCCATGTCAGCTGCCCTTGTTCAAGGAACATTACTCTAATTTTTAATGTAAAACCACCAAATTTAACGTTTTTTGGAAGAGATTTTTTTTAGGTGAAAAATAATTAACAAACACGCCTTAAGAAAATAATTTATCTTAAAGCTTTTAAATTACATTCTCATACAACACAAAATTGAAAAAAACACTATTAAATATATATAAGAATAATATAATTTATTAGTGGATTTAGAGCAATATCTTAGTTGAGATTAGTGGATTGAGAGCAATATATCTTGGCAGATGCTCAACGGATGATTAAGTTTGTTTGCTTGAACATTTGGGCCCTTTTAGGGCAAAACAAAGACGAAATTACAGCCAGCCCTATCTTTAGATTTCCATTTTCATAAATCACATACCAACTTTAACTTTTCAAAAATCAGGTTTTTCATATTTAATTTAATATTAATTATATTATTTTCATCACAATTAAAATAAACAAACCAACCCTAAAATTCAATCTATTCGCTCCTCCCGCTCCACCGCCGTTCGCCCCTCCACTGCCCACCGCCGTTCGCCCCTCCTGCCCACCGTCATTCGCTCCTCCTACCCACCGCCGTTCTCTCCTCCCCGTCTCTCCTCCCTCTCCACTCCGACGAAGGCGATCCAGATCTGAAGTTCGCTCGCGATCTGCTGCGATCTGCTGCGATTTGAAGCCCCGCGCGCGATCTGAAGCACAGTCTTCCACCGCACACGGAAGCCCCGCTCACGATCTGAAGCCCCACTGCGATCTGCTACTTTCTTCCCCCTTTTTTTTTTTTGAGTGGTTTGGTGATGACAATTCGGTGGTGATGTGCTTTGCGGTGGTTCGTGCGTCGGTGATGTGCTTTGCGGTGGTGGGAGTTGTGCGGTGGTGGTGCGGTGAATGGTGTTTNTGTTTGGTGGTTTGGGCTGATGGGTGGTGGTTTGGGTGGTTTGTGTGCTGCGGTGGTGATGGTGCGGTTTAGGTGTGTTTCTGCGGGCGACGGTGGTTGAGATGCGGCGACGGCGGTGGTTCCGCTGGTGGAAGGCAGTGGCGAATGGTGGTCACAAATGATTTGGTGATGGTCACAAATAATTTGATTGTTTGTGACCAATCATTCGGTCGGTTGTGACCAATGAATTCGATAAACTGTGACCAGAATTAGCTGTGTGACCTAATTGTAACCTAAAATTTATTAGTTTGTGACTAATAAATTGACGTTTGTGACCAATAAATTATGAATCGTGACCTAAATAAGTATTGTGACTTATAAATTTTGTGATTTGTGACCGATTAATAAATTGTGACTTTTAAATTTTTAAGTTGTGACCGATGAACGAATTGTGACCTACGAAAATTTTGAATTGTGACCTAAAAAATTTTAAATTGTGACCAAATCGTATAGATCTGTGACCTTAACATATTCGCCGGAATCGGAAAAATCGTTGGACCGGTCGTCGGAAAAGAGTGATGATCGGAACGGTCGCCGGAATAGTCCCGGAGTTATAGGGGTGGTGGAGGTGGTGGTGGGTTAATTATTTTATAGTTGAATTAAATATTAATTATAAATTAATTTAATAATTATTATTTCATAATTAAAATTTTAAATAAACCTGATTTTTGAAATTTAAAACATGTTTTGGCATTTTTGAAAGGTGTAAAAGTAAACACCTTATTTATGTATTCTTCCCCAAAACAAATTTTGTGTTCTTTAAGTTTTTTGCAATTTTGAGTTTTTTACGATTTTTCAATCAATTGGTTTGTATAGTTTTGGGAGCGACAAGTGGTATCAGAGCTTTTTTATTTTTCAAAAATTTGGCTTAGAACCTTTTTCTTTGAAAATCCTAGTTTTTTTAAAAAATATATTTTTGATAAAATTGCAAGGCCCTGTTTGAGCCGGATTAAAATCTGATTTTAATCTAAGTCAAATTTGTAACTTTAATATTTGTGTTGCAATCTCTATTCTTTTAGTAAGAATGATGTACGATCTTTGAGAGATTTCTGAGTGTTAATTACTTATTTGAAGAACTTCTTGAAGAAATCATACATTATTGTACTATTTCTTAGTTGTGATTAGTGGATTTAGAGCAATATCTCTTAACAGATGCTCAACGGATGATTAAGTTTGTTTGCTTGAACATTTGGGGCCTTTTAGGGCAAAACAAATCTTGTGTTCTTTAAGTTTTCTGTAATTTTGAGTTTTTTACGATTTTTCAATCAATTGATTTGTATAGTTTTAGGAGCAACAAGTGGTATCAGAGCTTCTATCATTTTCAAAAATTTGGCTTAGAACCTTTTTCTTTGAAAACCCTATTTTTTTTTCAAATATTTTTGATAAAATTGCAAATATGGTTTGTTCTTGAAAGTTTGCGTAAGAAATCGGTTTCTAAAAAAAAAAAAAATTGTCAATCTCGATTCAACTTTTGGTTGGATCACTTAATGATAATCTGATATTTTTTTATTAGATCTACAAGATCTCTTGAGACCGTACATTGTTTGTTGAGATTAAAAATCTCTGTTTCTTCAAAACCTTTTATCTCGTTTTTTGCTCGATTAGATATTTTGTTTATATTGAATTTGGCGATTCTAGTGTAACTCGTTACTAAGTTTTACTCATATTGAGTTTTGGCGATTAGAGTTAACTCACTTTGATTCTTGTTGAGTTTCTGACTCACTGCTAAGTGTTACTGAATCATCGCGACTCGTTAGGTTCATATGCTTACATTGAGATTCTTGGTTTAATTTGGTATTTTCTGAATTTTTTTAGATTTCAAACTCTGGTATTTTATACACTATTTCCTTACCTATTAACTGTTCTTGTTAATTTTGAAATTGGTTATTAAGGTAAGTAATCTATCATTACCTTCCTTTGTCCAAGATCTCCTACGAGGACCTAGGAATATGATGGAGCAGTGAGGGTTATCACTCCTTAAAGTGTATTTTTTCTGAGCTATGGAGAAGAAACTAAAGGCTATATGACTCTGGGTCAAAGACCAAAATGATTTTAAGGTGATTATTTGCAGACATGCCTTGAACTTGAAATCTAATGAATATACACATGTTAAAGAGATTATTTTGGAAAATCAAATTGAAAATACTGTTAATCAAGATGATTTGATAGATTTAGAGGCTGCTCAATTAGAAATAAAACATAATCAAAGTGAATCAAAAATTGAAACTGGATCTATTAACCCATCTATTGCTGATTACCTAATTACAAGAGAGAGAGAGAGAGAGACCTTCAATTAGATTCAGTAATGATGATTTTATAACTCTATTTTCTGCATTAGATTCTTTAGATTCTGAGCCTACGACTTTTAAGGAAGCCTTTAACTACCCAGATTCTAAGTTCTGGAAAGAAGTCATGAATGAAGAAATTGACTGTTGAATTAAGAATAAAAGATGGGTTTTAGTCAATAGGCCTAAAGATAAAAAGGTAGTAGACTGTAAATGGATTTTCAAAATCAAACAAGGAGATTCTAATATAGAAAAATAAGAGATATAAAGCCAAATTAGTGGCTAAAGGTTTCACTCAAAGAGAAGGAGTGTACTGCAATAAAATATTTCCACCAATTGCAAAGTATATTTCTATTAGAATTCTATTAGACTCGCTTTGAATGGGAATTGAATCAACTTAATATTAAAATATCATTTCTTAATGGTGATCTTGGTGAGATGATATATATGAATCAATCAATGAATTATGAAGTTAAATAAAAAATTGCTAAAACAAGCTCCCAAGCAGTGGTACCTAGAGCAAATGAAGTTGAGTAATGTCTAGATCCATTAGTTGATACCAAGTAATAGTTCAACAAGGTGGAGATTTTTAAATGATTGGGTTGCCTCACTATTTACTTGGCCTGTTGGGTTGTCTCAATTCTCAAACCGGGTTTGAGACCCATTTCTTTAAAACGTGTTTCAAGTTACACGCTTTTGCTTTTTTTTAAGTGGGTTGCGATCTGCCGTACATGTGTCTTAATCTTGATTCCAGATTTGAACTGTTTGGTATGGATATATATTATACTTGGCCTTCAGTTTCATCTTCTACGTTGGTTGAATGTTTCTTTTCTCTGTAAAGATTATGGCTTCTCTGAAAATCTATAACTTTGATCTTTGTGTTCCAATCTTTGTTCTTTTAGTAAGAATGGGGGTTGTTATGTACGGTTTTTGAGAGGTTTCTGAATGCCAGTTATCGATTTGTAATAGAGAGGTTAGAAAGAACTTTTTGAAGAAATGTACTATTTCTCGGTTGAGATTAGATCTGCAACAATATCTCTTGACTGATGCTCAACGAGTAATTAGGTCGTTCGACTAAACATCCGTGCCCTTTTCATGACAAAACAAGTCGTGTTTTTTAAATTTTATGTAATTTTGAATTTTTACAATTTTTCGATCAACTAGTTTGTATCGTTTTGGGACCAACATATACTTGTAAAATAATTATATAAAAAAAAATGTAATTGAAAATAAATTTTGAGGGACTCCAACAATAGCTATATAGAATACTACCAAAAGGTTCAAACCTAGGTCACTTTTATAATTCCACGTAATTATATCAATTTTTAGCTTATAATTAATAATTAAGTATGAAGTCAACGCTTTTTCCCCGCGTGAGGCTCTGTCATCCTGACCCGGTTCCATTAATTACCGTATATTCGTGCTACGTTGTTACCCTCTGCACACAGTTTCACAAACACGGACCAAAACTCACTCCACCGCCTCTGTGTTCCCCGCCACCCGCCTCTGTCTTCCCCGCCAAACCCGCCATCCGCCTTATCCCGAGACGTTTAAGCGATGAAAGAAGCAGTGGCGGAAGAACCCATCAATCCCACAGTCAAGAATATACAGATACTGATTGTCTCCCTTATCGATTCCATTTCTCGTGTTCAAATCTTCAAGGGAAAATGGTCGCAGATCAGGACCAAATTAACATCTTTGGAAACCCATCTTTTGAAATTTTCATCAGCCGCCGGCGACGTAAACCCGCTTTCAGTGGACCTTTTTCACTCCCTCTCCGCTACCTGCTCGGTGGCGGTCTCTCTTGCCGACCTCTGCCACTCGCTGACACCGCCGGGCGGCAAGCTTAAAACCCAAAACGATGTTGATTCCATTTCCGCAAAACTCGATAATCACATCAACGACCTCGTGGTGCTTAACAAAAGCCTGGTTTTCGCCGAAAGTGCCGCCGTTTCATTTCAGGCAACTGTATCGAATGTTTCACCATCCAGAAAACGGGAGTCGGTCCGGGCTGAGTCCCGGAATTTGATAACTCGTCTTCAGATCGGGTCAGCTGAGTCCAAAATCTCTGCCCTTGACTCGCTCCTCGGACTATTACAGGAAGATGATAAGAATGTACTAATTGCGGTGGCCCAGGGAATCGTTCCTGTACTCGTGCGTTTACTGGATTCCAGTTCTTCAGAAATTAAGGAAAGAACAGTCGCTGGCATTGCCAAAATTTCCGCGGTCGATTCGAGCAAGCATGTTTTACTTGCTGAAGGATTAGTATTGCTTAATCATTTGCTCCGGGTGCTTGAATCAGGAAGTATTTTCGGGAAAGAGAAGTCTTGCATTGCCCTTCAAGCTTTGAGTCATTCGAAGGAAAATGCAAGGGCAATTGGGTCCAGAGGAGGAATTACATCTCTACTAGAAATTTGTCAATCTGGGACGCCGAATTCTCAGGCTATGTCAGCCGGAGTGTTGCGTAATTTAGCTGTTTTTCCAGAAGTTAAAGAGCATTTTATGGAAGAAGATGCAGTGGTGACGCTATTAGCACTGTCTAATTCGGGTACTGCATTGGCACAGGAAAATTCAATTGGGTGTTTGTGTAATTTAATTTCGGGAGATGATGACTTGAAGCTGTTTCTTGCCAGAGAAGGTGGAATTGAGTGTGTGAAAAATTTGTGGGACTCTGCTCCCACTCCTCGCAATCTTGAGGTTGTTGTTCAGATGGTATCAATATTGGCCTCGAGTCCATTAATCAGTGAGGTCCTTGTCGCAAATGGCTTTCTGAATCATGTAGTTGGGGTGTTGAACTGTGGGGTTTTAGGAGTGAGAATTGCAGCTGCAAATGCACTGTATGATTTGGCTTACAGTATCAAAACACAGAAAGAATTGGGAAAAATGGGATGCATTTCGCTTTTGTCAAGAATGTTAGATGGTAAGGCGATTGAGGAGAAAGAGGCTGCAGCAAAAACACTGTCGAAACTTATGAGTTATGCTGGGAATAGGAGAATATTTAGAAAGGAGGAAAAGGGGATCACGAGTGCAGTTAAACTCTTGGATCCTTTGGTGCTAAATTTGGACAAGAAGTATTCTATTTGGATTTTAACATCAATAGTCCATTCTAAGAAATCCCGGAAGCAAATGGTGGCTACTGGAGCTTGTGCTTATCTGCAGAAACTAGTCGAGATGAATGTTGATGGTGCTAAGAAGCTTTACGATAGTCTTGGCCGCGGCAAGCTGTGGGGAGTCTTTGCCAGGCCTTGAGTTGAGGAACAGTGGTAAAGATGAAATTGAATGCTGTTAATATGTATGTCAATAATGTTTCATTTTCTCTGTAATTTGATTTCATTAGTTTTTACATTGTTGATAAGTTATGCTTAGAATGCTGTGGTAGAAAGCAAATATGAATAGTCTAGCTGCTGGTGAGAGTTTGTGTTTTTCAGAATTTTAATTTCTGGGTTTGGTGACCTAACTTGATTAGGGACTTTATGTTTTCCTAACAAATCCCAATAAAATTAATGAAAAAAAGTCTTCACTTTGAACTCATTCTCTAATGTTTCTGTAATGTATCTTGAATGAATGTGTGTGACATGATATTTTAGCCTTCTTTTAATGTCAGAATAGCCCAAATACTCAGAAAGTTCTAAATTTGAGCTAATCATGTGGTTTCATACTGTTCGTGAGGATTGCCACTCGACTGGGAACTTGCATGTGTTCTTGAATGATTATAGAACGGTTATCCTTGTGAACTAATTGCTCTACATTTCGCTTCTTGCCTAGTTGACAGTAAGAGGTGAGAGGCATTTCCTAAGCGAGGTTATTTTCAGAAAAAATCTTCGAGATTCATTCTTCCTTTATTTGTTCCATCTTGTGACCTTGTCTAGTTTTTATATAGTTGTGGGTGGCACATCAAATTGCTTTGATGATGTTGGATTCAATTAGATGCTTCTGTTATAGTCTCATAGTGATTATTTCTATTGAAGTTAGGTACTTGTAAAATTCTAGTGGCCCATTCTTTTCTTCTTTTTTTTTTTCAAAATGTTTTACTAATTATATAACATTAGGATAAAGGTATGAAAATGAATTATCTTGTATAGTTTAGTTTCTAGCTCGGTGTCTTGTAGCTGATTCTGTCATGTCTTGATATGGTGTCTGTGTAATGGTTGGTAGGGTTTCACCATGTGCATCTGTCTTGTGCATCATTTCGTGCTGGTAGTTGCCCAAACAAGGATCGATCGATCTTGCTCATTTCTTGCTGCTATGATTGTTATTCATTTGGCTATGATATTGGTGTGGGACTGGTGGAGGGTGGCAGCTCACACGAGATTGGCTGGGGTGGCATGCATGGCCATTGTGGCGGCGGCAGCTGACGGTTGAATCAAACCCAAGAACGGTTCCATCGCTCCAAATGTGTTTAAAGATTGTTCAATAATTGGGCGTGGCTCCATGGATGTATTACCCATTTTACTTATCCATTAATCAATTTGGTAAATAGCTAAAAACGAATCTTAGCGTTCGTTTGGCACAGCTTTTGTTTTTTATTTCTCTTTTAGAAAAAAGTTACCTTAATAGCTCTTCTATACTTTCATAAAATAAGCTAAGCAATTCCATGAGCTGTTTTTGAATCTCCAAATCTTCTATTGACTTGTCAAAAGTAATGTCTGCTCTTACAATAATGATATAAAGTAGGCAGCTGATGTGGACTCCACTAGAAGATTTCATTTCTGACATGAATTTATGTCCTAATACTTGTCACATGTACAATATTTTTACAGTAAATGACAATCAGTTTCGCCATATAAAGAAACAAATGGGATACCCCTATCTGTTAGATGACACAGAAATATATGTACAATTATGTACGAACAAATCAAATTTGAAGATGATCTAAGTCATTTATGGACTGATGTCGAAGTACTTCGGATCTGATGGATAGTGATATTCCACGTGTAACTGCATCATCAATTCACAAAACTTGTTACTAGATTACATGAGAGTGATGAGAAGAGATTGTATCTATTAATGTCCAGTAACCAACTTTCAAGTAGGCTTTTCATAACAAAATATGTCAAAATTCCGAGCACGAATACAAGTTATTTATATTGGTACCATGCCAGGAATATCTGCATTCCCGAGAATTGAAAAATGTTTGACTATTTGTATAAACCATTTACGCGCCTCGTCAGAAATGGCCGACTATCTATAGAATTTACCCTCCTGGTCTAAAGGGACATGAAACAATGAAAAAAGAGCACTGAACCAAACTCAAAGAAGAAGGTAAAGGCTCATGGTCATCTCTTTTTTCAGGTAAAACAGAGAGATGCAACTTATTGTTTTAATACACGCTCAATTGAATAAATGGCAAAATTACAGAAACAGTTATGAGATGAATCCAAGCTCACTGAAACTTTCAGGAGATGACAGAAAGGATGTCAATCGATTAGGGGCCTCTCCCTGGTAATGTCACTCCTAGATCATCGGCTTGTAACTACATCACTTGTACTTAAAAGGAAGGAAATAAATAGGATCGCTCGCACGGTCCATGAACTACCGTTCGACTGGTATTTAACTCTAGACTGGATCATGCAAGACTACATTTCTAACAGCAATTATGTATACACTAAGGGATAGGCCATCTTACATAAAGAAAATGTGCAATAGTCAGAAAATAAGTCTGTTTTACTTTGGAGTGGAAGCATCTAGATATGCATGAAAAATAGTAATACAGCATTATCTACTTACCTTGCCCTCATCAGAATCCGAATGGCGCTGAGGAAACACGACTCTCATATCATCGTACAAGTAGAAGCGGCGTTCAGCTTCGCTGTCCACACCATTCCTTGCTGGCAGAGGAGATGACCCAGATTTGCATCTCTGGAATGTTTTCCCATGTTTCTTTGGATGGGGACACAGAAAACGGAGATGTAAAGCATATCTCAGAACACCAGAACCTGCGGTATTCTCATTAACCTTTGAAGGGCTACGTACAGATCGGCTTTCATTTCCGTCAGATAAGATAAATGGGACATCGTCCACTACATTAGTATTTCTGCATGAATCACTGTCTAATTCACTATGCGTATCGACTCCAAGTGAACCATCAAATACCTCCCTATGCTGCAAAGAATTGCCCAATTTTGAAATTTCGGGCTGTGTGGCGCCATTTCTTGTATCAGGGTCTTTACGTCCACCTTTATCCATAGCTAGAGTGACTTTTTGGCGTAAAAATGTCTAGAAAGTGAAACAAGAATGGAGAGAAAATCAATGTAAATTTTGATGATTAGTCAAAACTAGTTAAAAAGTAACAAAACGGTATTCATGACACGGCAAACTACATCCACCTTTATCCATAGCTAGAGTGATTTTTTGGCGTAAAAATGTCTAGAAAGTGAAACAAGCATGGAGAGAAAATCAATGTAAATTCTGATGATTAGACGAAACTTGTTAAAAAGTGACAAAACAGTATTCATGACACGGCAAACTAATTATGCCCCTGTTTGGTGGCCCTTAATTTGAAAAAACTATGTTTTGAATAGTATTTTTTGGAGAATGTGTGGTTAAAAAGTATGTAAAAGTTTTGGATTTACGTGTAAAATATTTTATTGTGTGAATGTGTCATTGAAAATGAGTATGAGAAATAAATTTTAAAGTAAATTAAATTAAATTAAAGGCCACCAAACAGGGGCTATACAATGAAGCGCCACAGACCCATGGGAGGACATCATAGTTAGCTCACTATCGATCATAGTTAGGCCCATGCAAAGATTATTGAGATTCCGATCCATGATAAGATCCACTCAGTAAAGGTTCAGTGTTAAGCAAAATGCGAATAGTAGCAGTCTTAAAGTGCAAAAATTTGAAGACCACAAATTTAGGGATTCACCATTTCAGGACCAGCAGCCATTTTCGAATCTCGCTGAATGGATGTGAAAATTACGTTTGAAATGGTCATCATTTTTAAGGGAAAGGAAAAAGAGAAAACAACTATGGTCTAGCATGCCAGCTCCAAGACCTTAATGTCCTTGTACTAAAGAGACTGAAACTCAAGGCTTAAATCCTCAACCACCAGAGAAGCATTTAAACCCTCCATCCTAGTTTCCCCATTTACATATGCTGTTTTCAGCATGTTGTAACAACATTGCATCCAAGGCACATAGCATATAAATCTCACTTACGAGACTCCCTGCTCATGATCTCAGTTTTGTAATTGCAATCTGAAACTGTTCAACATAAAACGATAATGGAGTGCCATTGAACTTGAAAAGTTAATACTTCATGTAATATATAGAAAACTCTAGGTGCAGGGATTCATACATGTGGAGTATCACACCTTGTCAAATTAACAACTAATTAGTGGAACTATGAGTCCTATAAGGCTACATTCAAGGTAAGATAGTGTAAACCATAAGTGAATACCAATCCCTAATGCCATAGAGTTTGGAATCAGCATTTATAATCGTCACAGCAGAACAAGAAGCCAATTTTGATCCAAACCGACTTTTCCCCCAAGAATTTAATAGGAAGATGTCACCGATTTGGATTCTTATTATTACTGAGTTTTAGGTTGGTTATCAGATAATAACCAAAAGCTTCGAATTGATAGAATTGAAAAAAAATATATATATACAAATCAGTTACTGGAACTAATGACACTAACAGACAACACTTCAATATTTGCGATCTATAAATAAATTACCATCAGTTAGCTACCGATAGTAGTTGCAACGATGCAGGTAGCAATTTTGAAAGTTCAGAAAGATAGTGATCAACTGGGAAAGTTAATAAGAATCAGATATACCTTAGTGCCAGCAGGCATGTCACTCAAATCATAGTTACAGAAGAATGTATGGATAGGCGTTCTTTCCGGATTGCTTAGAACCTGTCAAAGAAACTCAATTATCAACACAGGAAGTCTTGGCAATTGGATGAAACTCAAATCATCAGTGAGAAGTCATCCTTTTGGCAATTCCAAGCCAAATTCTTCTTCTCGTTGACACTTGAACTTTTGGGGAACCTTGAAATAATAACCACAATTTGATGTAAAAAAATCATAGATCACCTAGCTCACAATAATGTCATGCATATTCACTACTTTGCACCCTATAGATAAAGCCATTTTATTTTACGCCACCAGGCTGGAATTATTTTTGAAGACAAAAATATTAGCTCCAACTGCAGTTTCAGTTAATGATCAAAATGGTACCAGTAAAGGACATCAGAAGAGATGTTGGAAAATGTAGTTCGAGAAGTATATATGCTATTGATGTATTCTAATTAAGTTCAAGGATCATAAATGTAATCAATGACTCTCCATCCATTTGGAAATCCCATTGAACATGAAGCAACAAATGATATTTAATTTGGGGAATTTGCATTATGATATCAAATATTCCTTTCGTAGAACTATATCTCAATAATCATTTACTTATCTATTCCTTTTCCTAGAAAGCAATACCATGTCAATCACCCCGAAGCTGATTATTTAAATTGAGAAAAAAAAAAACTTGATTGATTCTGTTCATATGGATTGTTCATGAATTCATAGGAACAAGTCTATCAATTATCCAATATTATTATCGATGCACAGTAGGTATGATGTCTCCATTATTTTTATCGTTTCAAGGAAACCCAGGTGATGCCACAGATCGTGGAATGATTCAGAGCCATAGAGTTGAGTTATTGGATACGGAATCTATACAAGCACTGAAGCTAAAATAAGAGCATTATTAAATGGGATAAAATTGCATTGAGCTAGAGGGTACAGGAAGATATGGATTGAGTGCAAAAACATTTCTTCATAACTACAACACAGGGACCATGGAAAATCCAGTGTGGTAGAAGGAATAAAGCACCTGCTAGTAACACTCAAATGCTAAATATTTCATATTTATCCAGAGGCAACAGCGTGGAATATTTTTGGCAAATTAAGATTGAAACAATCAGGATATAGGCAACCTGATCAGAGTGTACTTGGAGCCTTACGTGGTCTTTTGTGATTAACTAGGATAGGGGTACCTAATATCCATAAGAAGAAATGCTAGTGGGTAGTTGGATCATCTCTTGCAGTTCAATAGTTGAGTATAATTTTTGCTTTGTAATCAAGGTAGTACCTCCAAGTCTAAGTTGACTCACATATGCCCCGTGCAATGGAAGCAGTACTTCCAAGTTTAATTTTGCATCAAACTGGCCCCCTCTCCTCAGGTTGTTAACTTTGAGGCAGGGCTTTACATCTCCCTTGTTGTACTCCTTCTGATTATTATTCTACAAGTGAGAGATAATGCACCTGACCCCACCCCACCCCACAAATACATCAATGTTTATGTACGAGCCTAAATACCTTCTGCTTAGACAACGATGGATTTTGATTAAAAAAATAACAGAAATAAAGGAAAAGGGAAGTACTGTATGTTACATGAAGTTAATTATTTTTTAGAAGCAAAAAAATGACTATAGTAGAATCCCATACAAAATGATATTATAATTGGTATCAGACTGCACCATACATTCAAAAAAAATTAGAAATCAGTTAGAATATCTGTGTTTGAAAGGATTATTGACTTAAATTTGTCGCGCTATTCATATAACATTACAATGTTGCAAAAGAAGAATGTTATAGTATTCATGTATGGTTTCCTATAAATGTACAACCAGTTTCATCATTAAAACTAGCTATAAAATGTGTTATTTAGGTTCCATTTGGGTGGTTAGGCGCTCCACCGCCAACACGTGTGAACTTGTACCACTCTGAAGATAATAGTAAAAGAATTATAAAATCATGTTCCCATAAAGAGTAAGAGGTTGAGTGTTGACACAGAGAGAAAAAGAGAGATTACCAACTGTATGCGCCCTTTCATAGGTATTCGCAGACGAGCTTTCTCGTCACAGGAGCCACTGACACTGAGACTCCGTCTCAATTTTGGGCCTTTACACTTGTTAGACGGTAAATGTCCAGCAAGATTTATAGATGAATAGTACAGCAAGTAATTGTCACCATCCACACTTGTTGCTGCAAATGGTAGTTTCTGCGGATGGGGAGAAAATTTTCCACCGGTGATATTAAGAACGGCAAGGAAACCATCAAATTTCTGTATGAAAAAGAACCCGTTTTACAACCTTTTCAGCCATTGTAAAAAACAATGCCTCAAATAGTACATATTAATGGAATATATGAGACAATATAGCATCGACAACTACGGAAAATGGATTGTACCTGGCTGACCATTCCTGAAGCTAATCGACCAGACAAGAGTGACTCCTCAAATGAACCAACCAAGGACCTTCTGACAGATAGTCCACTTAGAGTTCTACCTAACTTTGCATTTTGAGTTGCAATAGACAGAGTTTGTTCTTGTATGGAAGTTAATCTTTCAGTAGCAACAGACAACATCCCATCATCTTCAAACACTCTGCTTGCAAGTGAAGGATTCTCATCTCTAAGAGAAGTGAACTCCTTTGAGAAAGTTTCTTCAAGAGACTGTTCCACTTCCATGAAGTTTATACATCTCTCATCAGACTCTTTCATGGAATCTCTAGATGCACCAGGATTTCTCATTGTTCCAAAAAATTTTGGTCCAAGAGGAGACAGAGCCAATGGTGAGGAGACAACCCTTTCTCGTGGTATGTCCATTGCCCCATTATTGGGTCGTATTGTAGTTGTTTTTCTACAATGCCTAACTTCATGGAATGACGAAAGACTAAGCTCAGTTTTAGGCCCATCAGTGATTATACTCGAGTTTGTCTCATTATCTTCCTCCCGTGGACCACTTGTTCCAGGAAAACTAGACAAAGACCAAATTAGAGGACTCGAATAGTCCAAGTTGCCTATGTTAGCTTTTTTATTCTCTTTCAGACTCATACTGTAGTTACCACTTTGTAAGCGGGGATGAGCTGTACTGCCAATGTCTAGATATTCACCACTTAATTTATCAGGCAAGAGCATGCCATTTAATGGCGATAATAACCGTTTCCTGACCAGTGAACTTGAGGTCTCAGTCACATCGGAAGTGTTACTAATGCTAGGGGGTGAATGGACACCAACTGCATGTTTCTCTCCATGCGGATTATTATGGTTAATTAACGCACTTGATTCAAAACCCACAATCCTAGAAACTGGACTTTGAATATTTTTTCCACCATTATGTGACAAGAAGCCATTCTTTTCTGCAGAATCAATCCTCAACTTATGCATGTTGGCTATACCATTATTGTGCAAACTAACAATATCAAGATCCTTCACGTGTTCTCTTGAAGACCCATGCATTCGACTGCTCAAGTGACCTATGTGCATTCCACTCATATCACAGCTGCTCCCACCAGCAAATCGAACTGGAATTTGCATGAACATGCTCATTGATGTGGCTGTTTCCTCACCAATCTTGCCGGAAGGAACTTGAGGCAAGCCCATGATCAACTTAGTATGTTATTTTGTTCTTCTTGTTTGAGAACCTCACAACGTTGTTCAAATCATTACACCAAGTTTATATCTAAAATCTTACAAATGGCGTTTAGGGGATAAGAAGTGCTTGTGTTTTCCCACTACACATGCAATCCACTAACTGAATATATGAACCACCATAGTAAAGATAAAATAATGCAAATATCATCATACGATTTCAAAACTTGTACATGACAAACCTAACTGACCTTCACATTTTATAATGGAAAGTACCATTAGCTATCTATGTATTGCATCCCCGTCCCATTAGAAGCTTCTTTAAACAACCCAGCAGCAAGACTTAAACGGAGGAAAATATGAAGAAGAGTCCGTAGCACAGCCATTGCCTTTGCAAAGGTACAATGAGTAAGACGAGGAATTTATCAATTCACTCCACGAGATAACAATCAATCCTGAAAATTATGTTGGAGAAAGTCAGTTATATCATGTATTCATCTGTTGAGTTGACAGACAAAAAGAGAATAACAAGTACTTGATAATTCTGAATTCCTATGCAGAATTAAGCAGCCAAATTGAATACAGCTTCTAGTTTTCAACAGAGGGAAAGTTGATCGTCCAAAATGATCAACAAAATAGGAAATCTAAGCAGCCTTTTGGATAGAATATAAGATCTCCCCAGCTCTAAAACAGAAAAGTTAAGATCACTAGAGCCAAACTAGGCTGGCGAGCCCACCAGATGCCCTCACATAGGAGCATCAATTTATTCCGATTTCCGGAAAACAAAATTGAAAAAATTAAAACTACAAAATTAAGAAATTATAAAAATATAAAATAAAACTCATCCAGCTGACATGTTTTCAGAAACTCAAAAAAGATCATCCTTGACTCCACAAAACAGCAGAGAAATAAATTTATGGTAACAAAGGAAAAATTCAGGTTGAACCACAATAAGCAAGATTCTATACATGTATTTCCAAATGTATTTATGAACAAAAATTAACCAAATCCGTTAATCAAAGCCCATAAAATTCTATGTCAACTCCAACCAAAGCTGATGAATCCACACCAAAAGCATAAAAAAGATAAGCACTCGTTAATGAAAATCATTTCCAAAAACTTACATCCGTAGCTTTTAGAAATATAATTATTTGTGTGTATCTCTCTCTCTCTCTATGTGCTTCAATGAGATATGGGTTTCTTCATCAGAGTTTTCTGTTAAAATTATATATTGAGGAATTGCAGTCAAATTTTGTTACTGTCTTCTTCTGGTGGCTCCTCGCATTTCTATCCGTTTCTCACCCTTTTCCTGTCTTATATTATATATCGATGAGTGTGTCCATTCGTCTTTATTCATTACGAAGGCTAGACGTATATCAATAATGCTACTTGGGTATGCCGCGGGCGTGAATGGAGGAATAGGATGATGTGGCAGATAATAATTAGATATTGATTTTTTAATTTTTTCAAATTGTTCAATCATGCGTCGATACGTATTTGAATATATATTTGAGCATGTATGTGTAGCACAATTGATATGAATATATGTTAACCAATAATATATAAGCTTTTGAATTATTTCCTTTTTAATCGTTTTTAAAATGAAATCGGATACAAATATTTTAGACGAGTAATTTCATCTTTCTAAATTTAAATGAATTGTCGAAATATAAAAATTATATAACGAATCACTATTATAAGAGATAGATTTGGTGTAAAATACCGAACTGATATTTGTCTATGTATATTTGGATTAATAGCGTGATAATTGAATAATAAATTTCTATGTGAATATGAAAAGTATTATAAAATGAAAGTATTGAAATAATTTTTTAATTGATGAAATATAATAGGAGAATTGTTAAGAAACTTCAAAGGTGAGATGATAATTTCTTTTTGAAATTTTCTTACAAGTTTGAATTTGTCATAATCTAGAATTATCCATGAAGTAAGGTGTATTAAGCTAGCATGTTTGGCTAAGGTTATTATGAGTGTTGAGACAACATATTTGATCCTCATTTTCTAAAATTTAATTTTTTTTTCTCAAATTTATTTTTAATTACATATTTCAAGTTAATTAAATGAGTGCTCACTGAACTAATACCTAGGTTACTATTTACTCATTGAACTGTTCATTACTTTACTCGATTCTCATCATAGACAAATTTACCTACATGACAAATTAAAAATGATATGGCACATAAATAATATTCACCTCTTATAATCAATGCTCATCGTAGACAAATATATCTACATGACAAATAAAAAATGACATGGCACATGAATAATATCCACCTCTTATATATATACTAGGTGCAAACAACGTGCAATACACGTTTACTTAGTTTATATTTAATATTTTTGTTTAATAATTAATTTGTTATTAATAAAGATGTAATTTTTTTTGGTTAATAAGGGCGTGTCTGGGCGCGCTGCAAGGAGGAAGGAAAATTGATTATGTTACCTTTTTTTTTTTTAAACTACAGCCCTACAGTGAGAGAATTGGTCCAAAATTATGGCTCCCAACGACATGAATTGTGT